CTCGGGGGGGACAGAGGCCCAGCTAGCGCGCGCTTGTCCCTGCAGCTCTCCGTGTCCATGTTAGTGTGGCCCTTCGCCGGGGTTCTCTACCTCTCCCCGTGTTTGCGTATGTGTGCGATGCTTCGCGGGTGTTTACGTTTCCCGGCGTCCCTCTCGGTCGATTGGTTCTTCGCCTGCCCCTCGCGCCCTCAAAAGCTCATGTCGCGCTCGCCGGCCAGCAACAGGCCCCTTGGCTAGACGTCCCTCGTCGCCCCCTTCCCCTGTCCTTTTTTGCCTCCCCCTCGACCGTTGCCATGGCCTCAATCTCCTCCTACCACCCGTCGCCGATTGGCCATGCCGGTCTGCATATGCGCCAGCCGTCCATCCTCGGCTACATGCGCCCCTACAATGGGACCTTCCTGCACCCGCTGCCGATTGTCCGGGACCCGGCCAACCAGAAGTACTACGAGTTCGAGCGCAGCCCGATCTCCGTGCCGGCCATGTTCTCCAAGAACAACCTCCTCTTTGCCCTGGTGAAGGCCCTCATCCTGGAGGGCAGCACCCTTGGCGTGGAGGACCCGAAGAACCGGCGCATCATCCAGAAGAAGCGCCTCCTGCCCAGCGAGAGTGGCTCCCAGATCCCGAAGGACCTGCATGTGACGGTGATCATTGGCTCGCGGCTTGCCCTGCGTGTTCTGCGTGTGCGTTTCTCCGGGCCTCCCTGGCTCTTGCCGGCAGACCCCCGCCCCTCGGGGGCCAACGGGGCTTCCTTCTCCAAGCTCGCCGGACTGACCAACTCCCCGCGATCCCTGCTCTTCCCCCTGTTGGCCCGCGCTTCGCCCCCTCTTCAACAGGATCTGTCCATCCAGTTCACTCGCATCACCCTGATTTGGTGCCTGCGTGAGCATCTCATTTCGCCGCAGCTCGCTTCCAAGATGACCAAGAGTGCGTCCGCACCCGGCTTTCCCAGCTGCCCTGTCCCGTCGCGCGCTTGTGTCCTGCCCGGTTACTCATCCACGCTCGCATGCCTTCCCCGGCTTCGCTCGCCCCTGGCGCCCTCCCCGCCCACCTGCCAGATATCAATGCCTCGGCCATGCGCAAGTACGACCGCACCATGAGCCGGGTGCATGCGTCTCTGGACCTGCTGACCACGGCCCTGATGTCCCTGCTGGTGCCGATGACCTCCATCATGCTGGTGGACTCGGCCCTGTCCACTGGCGAGTACCTCCTGCGTGCCTTCCGCCGCAAGCGCATTCTCGATGCCAACCGCCGCGCCGACCCGAGCGCCTTCCCCATGACCGAGGAGCAGGCCCAGGAGGAGAAGGCCATCTCCCGGGACGACTTCAACACCCAGATCAGCCGCCACATCACCACCGCCTTCAAGGGCATGCTTCTCGGGGCGGTTGGCTACGCCGTTGGCACTCTCATCAAGCCTGGCGTGGGTACCCTCATTGGCGGCTTCATCGGCGAGACCATGGCCGTCTTCTAAGGGGGGTCACCTTGCGCGCCCCTTCCCCCTGCGCGTGCACATGTGTCCACCGGTGGGTATTCCTGCATCCGGACTGGCCCGGTCACTGCCTGCCGCCGCATGCTGGCCTCGCTCGTCTGCCCCCCCCCCCCCCCCCCCATCACTGCGCCATACACCGCCGAGGAGGGCTGCATGTGTGTTTGTGTGCATGCCCGTGTTCGCGTGCGTGTGCCATTGGCGCCGGCTGCGTTGCTGTATGTGTCGAATACAAAAAAAAAGAAGTCCCACTCCTTTGGCTGTATTTTTACCAATCCGATCGCGGCGGGGAAAAATCCACCCGACTAGGGCATGGACTCTGCCGGGGTCGAGCGCTCCCATGTCAGGAAGAATCCCGCTGGGGGTTTGAATCGGACGCCCCGGGGTCGAAATGTCGTCCGAGGTACTCGAAGACTGGCATGGCCTCTCGGCGTGCCTGCTCCGGGAGGTGTTGCAGGCCATTTTGCAGCGGCTCGCGCCACCATCGCCACGATGGCGGCAAGACCGGACGCTGCCTTTGGATCTGCCCCAGGAAGAAGGCCAAAAGGAAGGACACCGAGGAGCGATTGGCACCCAGCGGCCAGGGCGGCAACGGTCTGCCGATCGGGGGGTCATGGGCCGGGGCCGACGTGCGAGGCCTCCCGCAGGGCCTCCCGGACGACCCATGAAGCTGCGCCAGAACTTCGGCCTGGCCGGAAAAGACAGCCCCCGAGAAGTAGGAGAACCCCAGTTCAAGGACGCTCGTGGCCAGGGCCAGATTCCCGAGGAAATCCTCGGCCACTCGAGCGAAGTGTGTCACCGCATCCAGCGTGGCCGCATGCTGCAGCAACTCGGGAGCCTGGTCGGCCGGGATCCCGGCACCATCGGCCGCCGGGTCGCGGAGGTGAGCCACCCAGGGCCACATGGCTGCCAGGGCCCGTGCGGCGGACTGCACCAAGGCCAGCTTCAGACGTGCACCCATGTCGCCTCCAGGAGCAGCAGCAGCATACATTTTGACCAATGCATGCATGCGATGAAGCTCCAGCTGGCTGACCTGCCGTCGGGAGTCGCCCTCCCTCATGCTGGATGATGGGGGAACAGACCACACGACCTCCGGTAGCAGGTGCGCCAGCGAGGGGAGCACGGCACCATGGCTGGGAACAAGGGTCACCCAAGACCGTAGCCACTCACCGGGCGCGCTGCGGCCGAAGTCAAAGCGCAGCCCCAGACGCCGGCGCAGCCGCACCAATGCTCGATCGAACAAGTGCATGGCTTCCAGCGATTCCCCGGCCTCCAGGGCTTGGTGTCCAGCCGCGGCCAGCAGGTCCTCCCCCGGATCGGCGGCCACGCCAGCCAGACGAACCAGCTGCGAGGCGCCGGGCGAGGGGGCCCCCCATTCGACCGGGAAGAAGTCGACCCCGAAAAGGGGGCTCGGCTTGGGACATGGAAACTGTGGAGAGGAGGCTGAGGGCTGGGAGGCGGAAAAGAGCCCCCACATGCCGTTGACCATGCTCGGCGGCAGGCGGAGGTCCCACTTTTGAGCCAAGTCCAAAAGCAGGAGATACTACTCCCCAGAGGGACGCAGAGCCACGAAGGGTGCACAGTTGCAAGCTTTTTTAGATGCGCGAAAAGGAGATGCCATCATTCGAATGTGTGTGTGTGTGTGTGTGTGTGTGTGTGTGTGTGTGTGTGTGTGTGTGTGTGTGTGTGTGTGTGTGTGTGTGTGTGTGTGTGCACGTGCGTGTGTGTGCACGTGCGTGTGTGTGCGTGCGTGTGTGTGTGTGCTTCGTACCCTCCGTTCGGATTCGTCTCGGTCACCGGCGTTCAGCTCGATCCGGGCTAGATTGAAGTGAATGATGGCCAAGAGGAAGGCCTCGGCCGAGCGCGTCGGCTTGAAGATTCCCAGGCGCCGGGCGACCGCCTGCTCAAAGGCCGGGATGCCAGCCGGGGTCCCGGACTCGGAATCCATGCCCACCAGGGCCACATATACCGCACACCAGTAGAGGATCCCCGGCCGGTGCACGCGAGATGCCTGTAGGGGGAAGGAATGCTCGAGGAAAGACCGTAGCAGGCTGTGCGCCGTGGCCGTTGGGCGCCCGGTCGTCCCGGCCAGCAGGAACCCCAGCAGATCATTGAATGCCATGTTGAAAAAGCCGGCTGTTGGAAACCCGATGATTGGCGCCAACACACCGCCCGATGCCAGTGGCGAGTGTCGGCAGTACCGGACAAGCCCCGGCGCAGGTGGCCTACTGGCGCCCGGGTGGCCTGACAAAATGCGCAAGGCTCTGATAAGTGGCCCATCGGGCCCGGTGGAGCCGCCAGATACCACGGCCACAAGTCGACCATGCTGCGCTGCAAAGAGAACCCACCCCAGTAGGGGAAGGATCCGGGCTCGGAACAAAAGGAAGCCCGGGTCGCCTGGCTGGCCGGCGGCACGGATGCCCACATGCAACTGGTGGAAGAGCCGGAGGACCGCAGCAACCCCGGCCTCCCGATCGTCACTGTGCTCGGCTTGACATGCGACCGGGTCGCTGGGCCCCGGCTGGCGGCCAGATGCCCGATTGACGTCAACAGCCATGGGGGCTTCGCCCGGCGAAGGAGTCAGGCTGGGAGCCCCCTGTCCGTCAGGCTGGCCGAAGAGCCCCGCCGAGGCCATGCCACATAGCTCGGCCATGGTGTCAAAGAGGTCATCAACATCATCCAGGCCCGGGGACGCGGCATTTGACAGGAGAATCCGACAGCGCCAGGCCACCAGTGCCGCTGCCAAGCCACTCTCGATGGTTGCCATGAAATCCGCCGGCGATTCCTGGGGCCAGCGGGCCTGCAGGCGAGCAAAAGGCATGAGCTCCTCGGCCTGGATGCCGGCGAGGGGCATGATCGGGAGGGGTCAGACAGAGATGCGGGGGGGAGATCTGCCTGAAAGCCAGCATGACCGCTGGGGGGGGGGGGGGGGGGGGGGAGGAAGACGCACAA